ATTCAAGGTCATGTTAACCTTCTTGAAGAAGAAGCCAAGAACTCCTTAAGTTAATCATCCTCTACATTGAAGCTGGTGCTTATTTGATTCTGAGGTTTTGCTCAAGACAGAACAAGCACGTGAAAAATTGGTGAAATGCAAGATTTCATTTACACAAGGTCGAAGTGACCCAGATTTCAAGTGAGGTCCAAAGTATTATTGGTCCTTCACACAAGAAAAGTTCTGTGCACAGCTCATTTAATATTTAAGAGGTTTGCATAAGAGTATGTAAAAGAGCATTTTCTTCTTGCTCTGCCAAGAAAGGTCAAATAACTGTTAATACTAGATAAACCTCGTGTGAGTTCGAGTCCCCAGAGTAACTGGGATTATGCCTAGTATTCTCAATACACAACAGTTTATTCAAGCAGGAAATATGTAGGAAGGGGCTACATCCACTACAGATCCAAGCTGTGCTGCTCTGTGGGCTCTGGTTGTGCCTGCTGAGGATCTGGGCCCACAATTTGCTAAGACAAGTAAGTGTAATGAGAACAGACAATTTATATCGACTAGGAGACCGGTAAAAAGCTTTTGAGCATTCAAAAATTGGCTGTGATGTAGCTCAAAAATACAGGCAATTTTATTAAAAAGGAGTCACATTTTGAGTTAAATGACTTTATGACAATATAAATCTATGTTGTTGTGGTGTTAATACCTCACTGACTCAGACCTAAACAACCAGTGTTTTCATTGGTGAAAAAGTTACTGGCTTGAAAATTAATGATTAATTTTATATTAAGTTTGGGAGAATGAGAACAGTGAAGTCAATAGCTCTACAAACAGCATGGTTTCCATATCACATTTAATTACATGAGTTCTTTAATATTATTTTAAAAAAGCACATTAAACCTTTCTTATAAATATTTTAGCAGTTACATAATGGGCTGAGTTGCTATTTGCTGTAGGATATTCTTTCTTCATATTTTCCTTCTGTACTATCTGTTGACATGTCAATAGACAGCTCAGGGACATGGACAGTGAAGACACACAGCCAGTTAGAGACAAGCAGCACAACTGGTAACTGTGACAGGCAGAACCAGATCTGAGGTGATCTTTTTGTAGAGTGTTTCACCACACTGAAGTAGTTACTCACTTTTAGCGAGCAACTTTTAAGTGTTTGTCAGCTACTGCAATTGAAAGGGGAACACAATTGTTGTGACAAGTGGTGATATTTTTTGCTTTAAGTATTTCCATAAGTTAGAGACAGAGCTGAGAAATCTTTAATGTAGAGGTCTTCTAGTACATATTGGTTATCTGCTGATTTTCCTTGTGCTGAAGGTCAGAAAGTTTGAAATTCCAGAAGGAAGTTTGAAATTCAGAGGAAGGGCTGCATCATGCCTTGAAGACAGATTCCTCACTGGGGAGGCAGGGTCCCTGCCCCATTTCTGGCACACAAGAGCCCATCTCCCTCCACCTATTAATGCAAGGGCAGAAGAGACTCTGCTGCAGCCTGTTCCCAATGTAACACCAGTTTGGCAAGAGCAGAAGCAGCCCCTGTGCTCTGGGAGAGTACAGGCTCAGCAGTGGCACTTATCTCTTCATCTGCTCAGTCACTTCATGAGATTTCACTCACAGCAGCCTGCGGACAGGCCAGGAATTTCCATCATTTTTCTGTAGATCCAGGGCCTGTCTTGCAACCACAAGCCACTGCATTATTTATAGAATGCAGACTGCTCTCTGCTTCTTAAATACAACCCATCCTAGTCTGAACACCTCTTTAAATTGAATATTGTCTTATGCACTTTGATTGTGTGTGGAAATATACTGCTTCAAGGTAAAAGGAGAGGAGTTGAATTATTATCCTGAAGGCTGTTTGTACACTTCCATGATCCACCCACTCATCTTACCTTGAGGGCGATGTGAATTGCATGGGCTGGTCAAGAACAGAGCAAAGCAGTCAAGTGCTGACTGACAAGGTTGCCCCTCCTAAGTGCTGGCTCTGAGCTCTGATCTCTGAGCACTATTGATACTCGGCAGTGAAGCAGAACTGCTGACGTTCCTGCTGGGCTCCACACAGAAACCTGAACATCACCACTGCATTCTCAAATTGGAGCCAGAGTTCAAGGAAGAAAATTTAAAGCAGGGATTTTCATCTTAAATGAAAGATGTTTTTGCTGTGGCTCCTATTCAGTACCATCCTCAAACTTTAACCTAACTTTAAACATTGCACCTAACTTTAAACATTAAACCCCTATTGTGTACTGGAAGGCTAGAAGTCAGCTTTGTGATTGAACTTAGCTTGCTGAACTTAGGCCTATATCAAGAGAGAAACCTCTAAAGCACTTCTCTTTATTAAAAATGTATTTCTACCAAGAGTTGATATGTTCCAGATATGGCAGCAGACCACATTTCTTAAAAGTTACCTCATGCTCTCAACCTTCCTAATGACACTGTAAACCATAAGTTATCAAACCAGATTTAAAGTGTGTGCATATAGAAAACTCCATTACAAAGAGAACTATTGCAACTGGCCCAGCCATTCCTAACTTTATTACAGAAGAAAACCAATTATGTATGTGTGTGTATCTACATATCTGTATGTATTTCATTTTTTAAAAACAAAGGGCAAATCCCTGGCCTTTGGAAAATTATTACCTTTCCATGTATTTCAGCAGGGCAGGATTTCTCATATTTCTCATCAGCAGTTTGATCTCTAACCTGATTTCCCTCTGAATGTGGTTTAAACTTTACCCAGTTCTTTTTCTTCCCCCTACTTCTTGTTTTATAAAACAAACATAATTAACTGTGATTATAAAATGGAAAACTTTACATTTACACAGGCATGGGTTTTTTTACCGTCATTGACTGGAAATGTGTCTTTATAAGTTTTGGAACTATAGTAGAGCACTAGCTATAAATAAAATAGTTATTTTTCATTAATCCTCTGAGGTACACTTGAAAGTTAAAGTAATAATAAAATAATCAACAAAAAAAATTTAAATATTTAGGTGTGCTTAAGAAAAAGTACACCTAAACAGCAAAAATAAAGAGAAGGGAAAATATGCAAAAAGTGAGTGTTAAAAATGTTGTTGCTCTTAGAACTTGCTTGTGAGAGTAATAACATTGCCCAATGTTATGGAGCAATGGAGCAAGGCACAGATGGGCACGTGGTGGGCACAACTCTGTAAGGATTCTTACCATTGCCATATGCTGCTGCTGATATAAAAGGGGAAAAATCAGAGATGGAGGAAGCACAGATTGTAAACTTAATGCAATGCTTTAAAGGAAATTGAGTGGGATGGATTCTTAGCCACCGAGTTCATATGTTATGGAGAACTTTGTGTAAATTTTCCAGCTTTTCCACTGAATACTTCTCCCAACAGCATGAGGTGTATGTGGAGTAGGAGTGGATGGCTGAGTCAAGTTCATTGGAAATGGGGTAATAAAGAAACAAAAATATTATACCTGAGTAGGTGCAGAAGAGGAAATCAGCACTGGAAGGATTTTCCTGTAAAGGGGATACTGTCAAAGGGTTACCCATCATTGGAAAGTCATCCTTTATTTCTGGTACTGGTTTACAAAGGCAAAGTACCATCAAAACTTATGTAGGATACCTTTGTATGTCTTCTGTGTGGCATGCAGGTGAATATAGGGAAATAATGCTGAAAAGCCTAGACATGCAGATCCTTTGAAGGCTCTGGTTTAGGGGTGGGCAGGGAGATGACCCTTTGCTCCCTCAACCCTCTGAAGTCACATTCTGACTCCAGGGTGGACAAATGACCACCGTCAGCTGCTAAATTAATTGAACCAAAAACTGAGGGAGAGGGACCCACACTTCACCCATTCCACATGCAGGGAAGTTCAGGAAGTGGGGGGAGGGAAGGGGAGGCTTCCTGATCTGCCAACTAGACCACTCTGTGAACACTTTCAAACAACACACCTTCAAATCCTTGTCTAGACATGGCCTTATGCAAGCCACAGATAAGAATCAGCCCCTGAATGGGTGTTTTGTTATATAACCACCCATGAGGCACAGGGAGTTAAACATTTGCAGTAGTTTGTAACATTCCTAAAGCATTACATTTCCAGCAGAGTGGATTATCTTGTCTCATTTTTCTCTGATGAACAATCAACTTCGATCTTGACACATGAATTTATTATGCATGGGTTAGACAAACTGAGCCTTAATAAGCTGCAGTTAAAAACCTCACTTTGTGTTTGTGGAGAGAAAACTCAGCTCCTAGGTTGCCTGACAGGGGTATGAAAATGAAATCAGGCTTCTCTACCCTCATCCAGCTCAGGTTGGATGTCTATATACCAAAGATGTGGGGGTTTTTATAGATTTTGCTAGATATTTGATTGCTTTGTTGGAACAGTTCCACAGTAGCTGACTGAGCTGACCTCCAGATGTATCTCCTCCAGGGCATTATGTTCTGTTTCGCATTATCAGCTGCATGCTCCAAAGGTTAGGTTGTGAGAGCTTGGGTGGGGCTTTTAACTCCTTCTTCCATCCCAGCAATCCTGATGTGCCTGTTCTCCTGTTCTCCCGTGGTTAATTCTACCCAACAGTGGAAGAAACACAATACAAACTCAGCTTGATTTAATAATTGCAGTCATGATTTATGTGCAACGGTGTCACTTCACTGAGCATTGATTTGATAGATAATGGAAAGCATGTGCCTGGCTTATTTGAAAAGTTTATTTGACACTACAGATTCTTGAAGGAATGTGCAGAAACTTCTAAATATATGGAACAAACTCACCTGGTGTAAATCAGGTGTCTGAATTGACAAGAGCAGTAATGGGTAAGGCAGTAATTAATATGCATAACTATTTCAAGGTGAGTAAAGTAATACAGTTCCAGGGCCCAGAGTGTCATTGATTTACGCCAGCTGAGGATATGGCCCGTAGAACTGACAAGAAATGGCTATGCCTACTAATTACTGAAGCTGCTAATGTATTTCAGCTGGTACTAACCGGTTTTATGTCACTGGAAAATTACAGAAGTGCAGGTCAGACACCAACCTGTGTGTGCAGGTTTTTTTGGTCAAATGTCCAGAAAAGTAGGGCTGCATTTTGTGTGATGACTGTTCTTGTTGGCATTAAACCCTGATCAGACTTCTCACTAACTTGGGCATCCTCCATAGAGTTTGCAGTTTCTTCTTCCCAGATTGAGGCAGGATGAAAAGCTGATTATTTGGTTAGCCTTCTGGCATAGTGTGGTGATGCATTTAGGATGCTTTTGACACTATTACAATTTCAGGTGGTCACTCAGGAAGAAGCAGCTGGTGAGTACAGAACACTTCCATACTTGGTATTTGCTGTGGTTTATAAGTAGCAAGAGCTGAAAATGTGTGGGAAGTGCTTTAAACTCAATGGGCTCACACAGTTTCTAATTTATGTAGAGGGTATTGAGGGTTATACTGCATGCCATATTTTGTCCTGTCAGATTTATGCCTCTGATCACTTCAGTCACAGGTATGTCTTTCCAGGGATTCAAATCATCACTGAAGGTTAAAGCCCTCACAGACATGAGGACACTGAAGTCCTTCAGAGCATGGCCATAGGGTGAGTGAAAATTCTTTCCCAGCTTCTGTTTTTTTCAATTCAAGGCCTGTGATGTTTTGAAATGCAAGAATGTTTTTTTTATTCCTGGATCAAGTTTCTTTAGAACATCTTTTGCAACTGTTGGCATAATTGCCAGTGGGACTTGACCATGCAAGAACATTTAGAAGGATTTTTAAGAATGAGGTCTCTGCCCTGTCCTTACTGCCACTGACAAAACAACAGTGAAACTCCTTGGAAAAGTTCAGCTCTAAGACATTTTTCATGTACTGGTGTGCTCAGCATATGCAAAATATTGTGGGAAATAACTCAACCTTTGTCACTACTTCCCTGCAAGGAAGTTCCCTTTGTAGTTTTAGGCTGGAAGACAAACAAGTGAGCCCAAGACTGTTCATGTTCACAGAGTAACTTTTATTTACATAGTCAGTAACCATGGAAAGCAGATGGCTACAGGAACGTGGGCAACTCCTTTACCCTCCATTCCCAGTTCAGCACTAGTGGATAAAAGTAACATTAACTCTAAAGCTCAATGTAATGCATGTGGTAAGAATTAGACAGGAAAATTTCCCTTAAAGAAATAGAGTTACAAATCTAACAATTCTATTCTCAGGACTAAAATTCCTGTCCACAAGCCAACAACAGGAAAAAACCAAAAACATATCTGCACCTTCTTGTAACCTGTGCTAGAAAAATATAAATGAAGAGATGATCGAATAAGGTTGTGATATTTTCTTGCTTTCACAGTCTAAAACAAAAATTAATTGTCACAAGTATCATTGTGCTAATATCTCCTCCTCTTTCAATTGACAGGCTCTGTTGTGTTATAATGTTAATCCATTTTGACAATAGAGACAGGAAGTCTTCATAAAAAACAGATCTTAACAAGACTTTCTGTTGACCTTTACCACATAGCTAGGTTATTTTCATAATTTACCTTGATTGTCCTCACTTCAGCTGTAGCCACAGTACTTCAGAAAAATATTCAACTAAGACCAAATTGGTCAATTAAAAAAAGCATCCCAGATTTAAGATGCTGCTTGATCAGATGTTTTGAGTTTTAAATTGCTAGGTTTGTTACAGTTTACTTGTCTTAATATTATTCAACATTGCTGTGCATGCTTTTACTAACACAACTGCTAATAAATCATTATGGAAGAAGAAAAAGTATTATTTGGTATTAAGCCAGATTGCTTTTTTTAATCCATTTTCCTTTCTTTCTTGGAGTTGTTTAACCACGGGGTTGGCTCTGGCAATATATAAGTACCTAAACTTTAAATAACATCTCTTGTCCAAGCTATAGCGCTCATCCATCAGATCTCTTACATTTTCCTTATTCTCACATAGAAAATAAATATATTAAGCCTGGTTCTTTATTGTCTACTCTGTGAGTAGTCATTATGCCCTTGCAAGAAAAACACAACATGAAAGGAAAAAAAATCTGATTGGTAGCACAATGGATTTGTTTTGAACTCACTACAATAATTACACAAGGTGATGAGTGATGAAGAATCCAGCTCATTATTGCTAAGAAGCACCTATCTTTATAGCTAGTACTGCATATCATAGATATAAAGGCCCTGGTTTATTACAATGATTATTATTAGTCCAGTTGCCAATCCAAAGATCATATTTGATTGTCCCATGTGCAGCAGAATACTAATCTATTTCCCTTCTTCATTCTTCCTCTATGCTTGTATAGACAGGTACATTAATCTACTCTGCCAAGAACGATCTTTTTATCTATGCAGAACTAAAATGATTCTTCCTTCTTATCAGCATCTTCCTATATGCAGAAGATAAAACAAAACGTTTCCTCACCCCATGTTTTTGTCAGTTCTCTGCTTGGAGGGTGATCAGATCATTTTTAACTGCATACAGAGCAACAAATATCTGACGTTTGCATTTGAGTGACTAAGACCTGAATTTTGTTGACAATATTAATGTGCTCTTCTGTTTAATGTCTATCAATTTTTAGAAGTTTAATCAGATTAACACTTTGCTGAGGACTCACAGGAATACCTCATTCTGACAATACTCAATGTTTGTCATTCACCAGATAACACCAAGCTAAATTCCTTCACCTGAAAGATTCTGCATGTGTCACGTCCCAGGGTATCCAGGGAAGGAAAGCAGCAGTACAAATAGACCCAGTTCTTGGCAAGGAGGTTTCCAAAGACAGGATGATCCAACCAAACAGCTTGCTGGCAAGAAAAAGGGGCCGTTCCACTCATCCCCTTCCCTTTCCTCAGGCACTGCTCTTATCTCCTGTCAAACAGACTAAGCACAGTGAAATGGCCAAATGAATCATCTTCTGGGGGTCTAGTGACCTCACGGGAGGAATTTCACCATCATCTCTCTGGAAGGCAGGATCAAGCCTGTAGGGGCACTCTGAAGTAATTTATCTGTGGGAGGAAGAATCAAAACTTATATGGTCCTCAGTTGGCTGGAGGGACAGGTTTTCATGCAAAATTTTCATGAAATTTGAAACTGTGTAAGATTTTCTTTTGACAGTGTTTGGCTGTTTGATTCATGTTTGATATTTACCTAGGGCTCTAGCTAAAAGAGAAAAATGAATGAAGAGGATCTCATCTGCTTGTTAGCCCATGAGTCAGCATGATAAGATGCATGGTGTGACCCAAGTGCATTTTTGGGTGACATGTTAAAGCAAAGTTCTGACCACTTTGCTCATTAAAGATCCCACTGCAGTAATTATATCTGTAAAGTGTGTTAACTCTGATGGCCTGGCCAGATGCCAAACTTCAAAATTGCATTCTCCCATCTTTCTTTCAAGTGGACACTCTAGTCTTCATTTCCTCTCCAAAACAACTCTCTTATTCTAGACTGCTAAATCCTTCCTGTGTTTCACCACAAAGTTTCGGCACTGTAATAGATTAAACAATCATTAAATGGTTTCTGTATCAACTAGTAAAGCAAGGGAGTATTTCACAAGATGAAAGGCAGTATAAAAATGTAAACTACTAATAGTTTTGGGCCTGCTCACTGCAATACAAAATTTGGCCAGTGGCAAAAAGTAGTCAGCTGAGGGAGAGTTGAGTGGCTCCATTACCCACTGATGTGCAACATTTCTCCCAGCATGTTCAGTGTCATGAATGCATAAGTTTGACCTAAAAATCAGATCTTTATGTACATTGTGGTACTGGCTCAGCTTTCTTTTTTAGGTCAGATTCTCAACAGATTTATGCTGCAAGCAGTTACAAGTTCTGCTTGAGAGACACTTGTGTTAAAAACAAAAAAAAAAAGGTAGTATTTGTGCTTTTTGTATGTGCTTGGTTACCTGTGTGGGCTCAATGCAGGAGAGTAATTTCATAGAGGACACAAACAAGACATCTGTGTTAAAGTTCTCCCCTGCCTGATGCTAACGCTGGGTGTTTAGAGAGAGAACATAAGAGGAGGGCACACCTGTAGCAGTATTTCCCCTGGCAGTATCTCCCCAGATTCTCCCTTTACTAGGCTGTACAAGACAAACAATACACAGGATTGTGGCATGAAGAAATGATGTACAGATGTAGCTGACACTGAAAATGCAATTTGCATAATATGGTAATGTATGCATTATAGTCCCAACTACATACATGATCAAAGCATCCATTGTAAATGATAATGCAAATTAATTTGAGGCTCATTATTATTAATTGAACCTGAACAGAAATGAGATTCAGTAAAAACAGAATAAAGAAACAAACTGAAACTATTTAGGGAAACAGACATTAATGTGATTATTCTCTCTCACTTACAGTTAGGCACATGCTCCTTCTGCCTGTGTTGCTCCTTCTGCCTTCTCTGGTATGATTTCAGATAGAAATTCTCCTTTTTTCTGCAGTTTGTTCTCGTGGTTTCTCTTTTGATGTTCATGTCACTCAGCACACTTTCTTAAATGTATTATTAAGGTCTGCATGGTCTAATAGGTTGCCATTACCCTAGGCTTTATTCATTCCTTTTCCAAATTAAATCAAGTTTGGGCATGAATAATGTTGATAGGGACATTTGCGTAAACTAAGTTTGTTACTCCAGTAATGGGGTTGCTTTTGTGAATTAATGGGTCATTTGTTTTTAAAAACAGAACACCGGCATGTTCCTGATGTTCCTGCCCCTTCTAATAACTCTGTAATGGTGATCTTTTGTCCTGTTGTAATGGTTTCTAGTTTCTGCAGTGCCTGGAGATAGGAGAAGGATAAAAGTCTAGGATCTCACTATTACCCAGTACTGAAGTTCCTGTCCTAAAGTGGGTTTAAAATTATTTAATCATGTAATGTAATAAAATCCTGATTTTTGTTAAATGTTTACATCTGGTGAGACTACTGTTTTTTTTCCTGGACAGTATTAGAATGTGATCTTCAGTGACTTACAAAATTATTCAGCATTGGTAGCTCTCAACTGTAAGAAGTGCATGGTTAATTTCCTGAGAATCAAAGCCACCATTAAGAGATGAGCATCTTTTTTCTCTCTGTGAATATTTGAACTTAATAATAAACATACTTTCATGCATTGGGCAAAGACTGCATGCAGTTGTAGACGCAAAACAATATTAAATTTCTTCCTAAATTGAGGAAGCTAAAGATGACAGATAAAGTTTGTGATCTCATTTCTAGGAACATTTGTCTGTCTCTCCTTAGTAAAATCTTAACAAATTCACTCTGGCATTTTAAAGGAAATACCATTTAAAGTAATAATTAATCTTATTCATTTTGTTATTGTTATTATTTTCTTTATTAGAGTTCTTGTGATTTATTTATATGTGGCATCATAAGAAATGTTAACACAACAGCATCTTTTTTTTTTTGTATGGTTCATACTATATTGATACTTATAACTGCAGTGACATTGCACAGAGCTTATTATGTTTATATCATGGGATGTATTACTTCATACCCAATCACTTTCCTAAAATAATTTTGGAAACTATGTTGAGCACTGTTGCATTTATTTTTCACAGTGGCTACCTTTGAACCAACAGGGCCAATATAAATATTTTTATATATATATATATATATATACATATATATATATATATATAAAGAGAGAGCGTGTGTATATGTATATAAATATATGTATATATCCTCTGATACATTATTGCCTACATCACTTACAGAGAGCAAAGGTAGAGTGAAAACTGGAAGGATAAAGGGAGGTATTTTGTCCCTGTCCCTTGGTGGCTGCTTACACTTTTACCCTCCTGTATTTCAGATGTTCTCATCCTGTCTCCTTCAAGACAGATAAATGCAAGGAAAAGCTGAAATACTTTTCCCATTGTCCAACATACAATACATTTTGCTGGGGAAGTCCTGGTTACCAAATGTGTCTGCAATGTCTGCAGACACTAGCAGCAGTAGAGCATGTACAAAAGATTGGCTTTGTCTGCTTTATTCATGATAAATTCACATTTTACTTCATGCGCGCTCACTGAAGCCAGCAGGGCTTGAAGCACAGTATGCAGACATTGATTTTGAATCCTGGACCAGAATCTCTCACCCTTCCCAAATTCCACATTTTTCAGAAATGCTGGTCACCATTTCAGCAGCTCTAAAACTGGATGTTGCAGGTGTCTCAGGTTGACAGCTGCAATTTTAGTGATGCTGTGCAGCACAGGATGTCCACTCTCATTACGTTTCAAGGCACAGGAAATGCAACTCAGTATCTGAATGCATAAGAAGGATGGAGCCTTTTAAAGTTCAAGGTAAGTGCCATGATTTTTAAGTTGTTGGAGGAGAAGAAGAGAGCATTTAATGGATCCTTTACTTAATTTTGAAACTTACTTTTCATTTTTAATGCTTCCTACAGGATTCAAGAAGCCTGTTGACACCGTACATGCTGGTATATAAAAATAAATTACAGACTTTAATATTTACGTGTGCTGGCTTCCAACCCCCCAAAAGCTTGCACTGAGGAGGTTCACAAATGGGAAGTGAAGAACTGCCAGGCACTTGGATCCTTATTGTGAAGACTGACTGAAGAGAAGCATGCCAAACACAAGGTGCTGCCTATAAACCTTTGAATCAGAATGGGTAACTACACAAATGATAAACAAAATAAAAATATGCTGAGAAATATGCATGTGTTCACTGCACTCAAAATTAGTCTGTTCATTGTTTCCCAAGGCCTTAATTTGCATCGGATGTTTAGCAGGATTCAAAATCTGACAAAATATTAAGGTGGACAACAGGAAGCTCCCAAAGTATAAACCCAGGGTTTCTACAAATTCTACTGGAAAGGTCATACCTTCCTACATAGTAAGGCATAAGGCAATTCCTTATTGTCAAGAGCAAGGAGAATTTTCTCCAGAATATATGTTTATTTCTTTCTAACTTCCTTAAGCTTTCTTAAAACTTCTGCTCACTAATGGTATGATGCTGGAAATTGTGGTCTCCTGTGGTCTGATCCAACATGGTCATTCCTACAGCTCTAATCAGGCTGGATATTCAATAAATAAGTCCTGGGACATGTAGAAGGAGGAAAGAGACAAAGCATTCCAGGCCAAGGTCAGAAAGTCCCTATGAGCTCTCTCTCCCAGATTACTCACTGTATTTCCTATTTTCACACGGCTTACTCTTGCAGACTTTGGCTTGCCTGATGCCTTTCCATTTCATGGGGTTTTTTTCCAGGTATTGACAATAGGTGTTTTGCCTTGGATGACAAGCATGACAAACTGTAAAGTCATGTCCTAGACATTCTGGTACATACTCATATCCTGGTGTGATCTCATTTTAAGGAATGTGATTGTGATTTCCAGCGTTACAAGCTGAAATCAGGATTTGGTTATATCTGCCATATACTATGTGAAGTACTGTCTCTCTCATAATTTCAGCTCATGCCAATACATCTTCATAGCCAATGCTGGGAAACATCACCAATTACTGTGGCTGTTTACAGAGCACAAGAACAGAATATTTAATTTTACCAGCCTCTAAGGACAGCAAAGCTGAATTTGAACTCTAGTTAAAGTTTTGCTGATTACTCCTGACCTTTCTGGGACAAAGACATGAAGGTCACTGGAGTCATGACTTTTTTCACATTCTGCTTGTCTTTGTCATTCCCCTAATAATGCGGAGGACTAGAAACAAGAGCTGGGTGGTGTTTTTTTCCCCCTGCCTGGAAATCTATTTAGATTAGTCACCAGGTTTTCCAGTCTACGGTCATTGAAGGTCATTTGGTTTACAGCTGAAATTCTCAATTGGAACCTCATCTTGTAATCAGAACTTAAAACCCAAGCGAGGTTTTGTATCTCCTCTGAAAGGGTAGGTTGTTGTGTGATTAGCTTCAGAATGTTAAATGGAACTGTCTGTGTAATGATGGGTAATTTTGGGGGGCTTAAATTGCTCTGTTAGAAGACCTGTCTTGAATAATAATACTGGGCTATATTATAAGGAACAGTATTCTAGGCTTCTCCTAAATGCTAATTCTATTACACATTAACATTTCCTTGGCTGTAAAATGGCAAAAGGCAGGCCAGCAAGATGTAAAAATCTTGCAAAGTGCATTTTCACTTATAGACTGCTCCTAAGAGCAGGCCGTTTCCTGAAAACGTCCCTTAAATAAGCATCCACTTACAGTGGTCATCATCGTACAGTCAGCATCTGCTAATAGCTGTTCCACAGCCTTGGCTGCTGGCAAACACAGAGTATTTGTTGTAATCCATAGAGTGATGGAAATGCTTGCGTAATTTTTGCACTGTTTTTTTAAAAAACTATTCTTGGCCCTAAGTACAAAGGATCAGTCGCACAATGGAGATGTACTCCTAGGGGCTGCTGACAAAGCCTGGTGTCCTGTACATTCTTTGGTTCCGTAGGACTACTGGTGAAAATCTGAAAGCCCTCTTAATTTTTTTTGTTGATTGATTGATTGATTGATTATTTTAATACTTCTTTGGTCCATGTGCTACTCAAACACAAATATTTACATTAACATGTATGTGTGTGTATATATAACTAGTTAAAGCTGAAGGCTCCTTGAAAGAAACAATCCACCACTGCCATGATATTGTTATTGGAAATAATATTTAGCTTTGTTAGGGGAAACAAGTTTTTTCACCAACATCTCCTGACATACAAGTTGACCTTTTGATTTCTTCATTGTTATTGCACTTTTGGTTCCCAGCTTCAGAGAGTAACCCATGGATGGCTTCAGCATGTTCCATCTCCCTATTTGCCCCACTTGCTGCCTCCCTTTCTGTTTCCATTTGACCTCCATGTGTGGATACAAGCAGGAGGTTACCCTGCATAGGGATGGGTGTCAGACACTGCCCTGTGCAGGCAGGAACAGCTTGAGGAGTGTCTCCAGCTGGATATCACCCCAGAGTCCCCAGCACCACACCATGACCTGTGATGTCAGCTCATTGCTTGTTCCAGCAGGCATTATTGTCACTCTTACTGGCAAGCCAGGCATTTCCAGAACATCTCTGTGGGCAGATGGTGCATCCCCATCTTGGCTCCATTCTTAAGGAGTCTGAATCATCACCCTTTGGACACACCTTGATTCCTCTCTGGGTTTGCAGGAGCTGACACCATCCAGCTCTTAATCACTTCTCCAGAAGCACTAAACTCTAATGCCAGATTACCTTTTTCCTTTATCTTCTTTAGCCACTCTACAAACACAGCTTCTTTTGAGTGACTACTTTTATGTATTCACTTTACAGGGATTAAAAAAATTCCATGGATGTCAGAATAGTTCATTCCAAAAGATTCTAGCTCAGCAAGTCCACCAGCTTCCCAGAGTTTGCAGAGACCACAAAGATGAATGCACCTTAATCTCCATGGTTTTTAATATACAGGGATCCAAATTATGCTGCTGTTGCTTCACCTCTCTCTGATGCAAAGATGATGGAAAAGTAAATATCTGGAAAAAACCCCAGCCACATAAGGAGTTAACACCATTCACAGCTATCTGTGGTTTTCAGTTGTCATTAGCCAAACAAGACCCTGACTACTTTGGAGAACAAAAGGCAGCAAAGTCATTAAACAATTTTCTTCTACTCAAATTCATTTCATGAGTCAGATACATCCCAGGGATCTGGGCCTACATTTCTAAAGCAGGTTATTTTGCTGAGGCCAGGCTGACTTTTCCAGCTAGCTTCCTTTCTCCACAGCTGAGATCTCAAAAGAAATAAAAATCAGTTTAACTCATGTTAAAAGGGGCACCTTTTAACTCTATGTAGCCAGACCCATCAGCCTCCTGCCTCTCTCAGGCTGGCAACCAAGTACCAGCATGCTGGAAAATGCATTTACTTTTTGATGAAGTGCAGACCTTAAAAAGCTAAGCTGGCTACAAGATTCATGACAAGCAAGGTCTTTTGCAGACAGAAACATGCAGCTGCAGAAAGGGCCTGCTTACAATGAATTGCAGGAAGGTTATGGTTTGGGATATTTTACTTTTTAATAGGCCATGGAGTCTCCTGGATCTATGTGGCCGCTACACTGGCTCCAGGGGTCACATCTCCAGCAATAGTGTAGGTAGCTGTGTGCTCCCTTCTAGCACACGATTTAGTTGATGCTCCTGAACCTAATGAATTTTGGCGGCAGGAATGATAATAGCAGACAATTGTTTGTCTCCAGTCCCTAAATTTTGTTAGAGAGTTAAAATAAACCTGTCTGCTCTGCTAGTCTCATGTGCAACAAAACAAAAATAAGCCTTCACAAAGAATCATTTTCAAGCGCCATTTTACTTTGTGTCTTAGGCTCACAAATGCCTTTCATGTATTCTGATATCTCAGCTATCATAATGCAAAATAAATAACCAAGTGAAACACACAGATGTATTCTCTAGGTGGCTTGTGATGTAGAAAAAAGAGCCCTCTGCCACTTCCCTTACCTCCTTCCTAGTATTTTTCCCCCTTTCTAAGGCTTGCAATAGATGCTTTGTAGCATGGGCATGAAACACTAATGCTATTTTAGTACAGTACAGTTTTGCAGCATTTTGGAGCCCAGTCACAGCTCAGGACCCCCTGTGAGTTAGACATCGTGCAGACAGAACAAAGTCAGCCCTGGCTGTGAGGACAGCCCATCCTACACTGCACCTCCCATGGCCACAGGAGACTCACATTGTAAATGTTGATGCATTCAACACATCTGCCACACATGCAGATCATGGAGACAGTGACATTGCCTGAGACACTGGGGGGTTGGCAGCAGTGCCTGTTGGTTGCTAAATACATCATTCAAAAGGAACCAAAGCTTAAAGCTGGTGTTTGTTGTATGAATGCAGCTTTGGAGGATCATGGGAGTGCAGCAGGACTTGTTAGGTCAAACATTTAAAAGTCCCCCAAGTAATGTAGGAAGTCACAGCCTTAATTTCAGAAGTGAATTGGAATTTAATTTCAAGGAACAAAGAACTTAGGACATTTTTGCAAAGAGGGAGACGTTCCCATTCCACTTTTCAAAATATTGCCCCTCTGTTTAAAAACCCCTCCCCACATACAGACCCATTCCTGAAACTCCAAAACAGACAGAAAACAGCAATAACTCTCTGCTGATTAGACCTGCACAGTGCTTACCCACTAACAACAGCCAGAGAAGAAAAATCCCCATTATAAAAGGTTCTGCAACAGCACATTTTTCCTTTATCAGTAAGGAAATCACAACTAAATTTTGCTGGAGCGAAATTAAACTAAAAACTAAAATCTTGCTCTCCTATGGTCCCTATCTCTAGTATTGTTGCTTGACTTTACATTGAAGCCATCAAATAAAACCTCAAAATGGCATAGGACCAGTGACCTACCATTTAGTATCAGCATTTTTTCCATAAAAGCAAACCTGCTTCTGCTAGGAATAGCTACAGGCATTTGACTCATTAAATTTTTGTTTGAATGAATATTTTTTGATCAAAAGAAAATGTTATTTATAAGTTACCCCAAAAAATATATTAAAGCTCTTCCTAAAAACAAAGCAGATTTTCTGTCTTTTAAAGTAGGGATCATAACTAAAGGCTATAATTTCTTTTTTCTATGCAATTATTTTGGCAACTAAATATATTATGAAAAAAAAGTCTCTTAGAAAACTCATAAATTTTCTCCTCAAAAAAATAATAAAAGAGTAATTAATTCTAGAAAGATAAATAAAATTGTTCTCTGCCTCACAATTCTTGTGTTTTGACCTGTAGGTCAAAATAGGATAAGGTTTCTTGTTAATAGAAATAGCTCTGTAAGGGGAAACATGTTGACAGTGACTTCAAAACAGTTTTGAACGATGAATGATCCAAAATCCTTGCTTAAAATCCGTCATAAAACCCTCTAACTTCCAAAACTGAAACCTTCCAAGATGTGTTCCCAAGGCTGGTCTCCCTGCCCAGCTGATGCTGGGTTTGCACTCACTGCTGGATTGTGTCTCCTGTTCTGTAGGTGATGCTGTCCAGGGAAATCCCTGGCACCAATAAAACACCCTCCAAGCTGTTGCATGTTATGTTTTTCCAAATTATCTGCTGGTTCATTAAAACACAGTGAAAAATTATATACTTTCAAAAAGTCAGTGGGGGCAGCTGCAGGAACATGATTTGTCTTGGACAGAGTAAAACCACTGGGACCCTGACCCATACCTAGACTTTAAAACAGTAAAAAAGCAGCAATATTTTGCTGATTTCTTGCAGCTGAGGGAACTTTCTCTGGATTTTTGAAGGGCTTCAAACTGCTCTTATTAAATACCTGCTACACTGATAGATACAGGTTATGCTCTGCACAGCAGGATCAATAGGTGTTTTGCTAACAATTGGAATATTCCACATATGATAAAAGTTGCAGCCACAGAGAATCCTGCTGCATGAGAAGTATATTGTGGTAGCCATAGCTGGGAGAAATTTGGCTTAGCTCCCTCGATTGCACAAATGTAAAGTCACTTACACCAGCTGTGTGTCTGGCCTTAGAAGCTGATTTATCGTCTGGTCCCTTAGCCTAGGTCAAAACTATCATGCATGTATTTAATTGAATGTGCAGAACAGCTGACATGGAAAGAGAAAATATGTTTGAAAAAAATAATTAAAAGTATGTCAGAAAGCTACAAGATCATTCCTAATTATTTTTAGAGTGCTCATGACAAGTTTCTGATACGCTAACCACCTGTGAGGGCAGAGCTAGCTCCTTCCAGTGAGAGAAGCTCGCACTAGGTCTTCATCTTTACAGCCAAAGTTTTCAAGGACATGGCTTGTTGCTTAATTCATTTGATCCTATTGGCTGGCTGTCAACAAAAGTGTCAATCCTGTATTTGTAACGTCATAAACTTCCAAGTATGATGTTGTAAACTGAGGACCATGACTTTGACTTAAGGGCAGCAGCAGATGGCCGAGGCACGCACTTACGAGCTTGTTTTCAGGAATCGAGACCTTGCGATCATAGCACTAAAAAGTTACTTCACTGGAAAAGGAGGCAAGAAATCATTTTGCCAAAGTGCCCCTACTGTTTCTTCAAACCTTCCTGGAAAAAAGCATAATTGATTTCTAAGATCCGTGCAAGACTGCATATTTATTGCGCTGAATGAAATATGGATTGCATGAATTCTGCCGGTGTGACATTCAACCCACTCGAATATTATGAGTTTGA